TATTTGGGCAAAGTCATGGAACGTGTGGTGGCAACACAACTCCAGGGGTTTCTGGTAGACACTGATTATCTAGATCCGGCACAGTCTGGCTTTAGGCCGGGACATGGTACTGAGACAGCCTTGGTCGCCTTGGTGATGATCTGCGCCGGGAACTGGACAGGGGGAGTGTGTCCCTGTTGGTTCTGCTGGACCTCTCTTCGGCCTTCGATACCGTCGACCACGGTATCCTTCTGGGACGCCTCGCGGGAATGGGTCTTCGGGGGTACTGCCTTGCAGTGGCTCCGGTCCTTTCTCGAGGGTCGCTCCCAGAAGGTGTCACTAGGGGACTCCTGCTCGACTCCTCGGCCATTGCACTGTGGAGTCCCGCAGGGCTCAATACTGTCCCCTATGTTGTTTAACATATACATGAAGCTGTTGGGAGAGATCATCCGGAGTTTTGGGGTGCGATGTCATCTGTACGCAGATGATGTCCAACTCTATCACTCATTTCCACCTACCACTAAGGAGGCTGTTCAGGTCATGAACCGGTGCTTGGCCGCTGTCTCGGACTGGATGAGGGACAACAGATTGAAACTAAATCCAGACAAGACAGAGGTACTCCTGGTCAGTCGTAAGACCGAACAGGGTACGGGGTTACAGCCTGTGCTGGACGGGGTCACACTCCCCCTGAAAGCTCAGGTACGCAGTCTGGGAGTTCTCCTGGATTCATTGCTGAGCCTGGAACCCCAGGTCTCAGCGGTGGTCAGGGGAGCATTCGCACAATTAAAACTTGTGCGCCAGCTGCGTCCGTACCTTGGGAGGGCTGACTTGGCCACGGTAGTACACGCTTTGGTTACATCCCGCTTAGACTACTGCAACGCTCTCTACGTGGGGTTGCCTTGAAGACTGCCCGGAAGCTGCAGCAAGTCCAACGCTCGGCAGCCAGACTACTAACGGGTGCTGGGTACAGGGAGCACACCACTCCGCTGTTATACCAGCTCCACTGGCTGCCAATTAGCTTCCGAGCACAATTCAAAGTGCTGGTGTTAACCTATAAAGCCCTAAACGACTCCGGCCCGGTTTACCTCTCCGAACGTATTCTCCCCTACGAACCATCAAGATTATTAAGATCATCCTTCCTATATCAGTCTTCATGACTTTTGTAATGCTAGAAAATAGTTTTTTTTTCTTTTTTTATATATTTTCCTTCCGTATCCCTTTTGAAGACAGTTCTTATTCCTTTCATAAAATCGGGGATGCTCTTGCAATCTGTCATCTGCCCTTCCTGTATCTTTGTGGCTCTCCATTCCTGTTCATCCCTATACACTATCAAAACCATAAGCTCTCTGTCACCCATTTTGTTTTTCTGGTGCTGATGTGGCCTTTTAAGCATAGGCCACATCATTCTTGCTCAGAGCCCAAAGCACTTTGGTTCTAAATAGATGCATAATAGTAGAGTGAAATTCCTGTCATTGTAGCCTTTCATGGGGAAAAAAAAGAAAAAAGTAACCGTCTGCAAATGGGTGAATAGTTTTGTCAGACCTTATGTCATATCTCATTTTGACCCTGGAGAAGTTAGAGTGACTTGAAATGCTACATGACAAACCTAAAAACCTCAGATTACAAAGAATTGTAGTAGAGAAGTCCAAGAAATGTAATAAGAAGAATATAGAAGTACTTCTTTGTGTAGAATGATTTTAGATTTCACACTACCTATAAACCTTTATCCCAGTTCTTCATAATAACAACATAGTTGAGGTCATTAATAGTATCTGTTTTGTTGTTGTTGTTGTTGTTCTTGTTGTTGTTATTATTATTATTATATTGATATTTTCCACAATGTACATTAGGAAGTGGGAGGGAGAGGTAAAACTTATTAAAGTAATGGCTAATAGTTTAATCAGTTTTAGCACATATCTAATGAATCATGACTGAAGGGGAAAATATTGTGGAGGGCAAGTAAACAAAACATTTTAAAACATTATATTATGTTACTTCCAAATTTTTAGTCTCTATTATCTTGATATCATTTAAATTACCAAAGTTTTTGGAAGGTTAACATTTCATCTGTACAAAGGAAGAATCTTGTTATTCTTTAAATCTACTGTTCATCTCTACTTTTAATAATTCTCTGTATTGTTTTAGTTATTTTCTTTCTCTCATTCTTTCTTTCTTTATCTTCTTAGATATTCTTCTTAAGTTTTACCTGTTGGGTTACTTCTTTTCATTGCCTAACCAGTCTTAGGAAAATATTTTCTAATTCTGTTTGTTAGTATGTTAGTGTTATATATATTTAATCAACCAAAAATCTATTATATCTACGGTATATCTTTATCCTTCATCCCCCCTTTTCCATCACCCAATCTTTCTATTATCCATTTTCTCTTCTCTGAAGGGTTTAACCACAGTAACCACCTTAATCACATATTTGACATATATATGCATCCATTTTCAAATTCTTAATGAGGTTTAGTATCTGTTTCAAATGAGCCTTTTAAAAATAGTAAACAATAGAAACCTCTAAAAACCAGCAGTTCTCAAAGTGTGCTCCACGGAGCCCTTGGGGCTCCACAAAGCATCCTGAGGGGCTCTGTGGTCTCTCCGCCACCAGCAAGCTTTCCCTCCTCTTTCCTGCTCCTCCCCTGCACTACAAATGAGATATGTGCAGTGTGAATAGGAATTCGTTTATGCTTTTTTTCAATTAGTTCACACAAACACTCTCCACCCATCTGCCACTGGCCTGGCCCGTCTGTCAAATTTTAAAACACAATGTGTCATAAAGTTTGCCCATGCAAACTATATACTATACTATACTATACTATACTATACTATACTATACTATACTATAATATAATATAATATAATATAATATAAAGATTTCTTGGACAAGAAACTTTTGCTGCGCAAAGGTCTCCCTGGCTGAAAAAGTTTGAGAAGCCCTGCTCTAGACTTACAGAAGAGCAAAATAAACAAACAAACCTGGATATGTTTCTGTTCTAGCTAAAATGTGATAATTCTGAAGAATTATTTAGTGGCTTTTGGTTTTGTTAGTTAATACTTATAATGCATCTTTGTACATAACACATACAGTTACAAGGATTCAAATAGGTATTATGGATGACTTTCCAAGTGTTTGGCACTGGGATTTTTCTTTAAATATATCAAATCCTATAATTTCCTTTTAAAAGTCTCCTCAGATTCAAAAGTGGCTTATGACATCTCATGAAAGAGTAGCATAGAACTGGTTTTGAGGAACTTTAGATCCCAGTTTGTATATTCATTTTATACCATAGAAGTAGAGGCATCCTTACAATTGCTACTCAAAAGAATGGTGGGAGACCAAGAACATCTACATGGGCCACTCACTACAAAGTGGGTCAGAAGTTGCTTCTAAGCATCCACATGATGTTCAGGGAATTCCAGCTTCCAAAGTGGAGTATATCCTGTTATTGCAGGTTTGCCCTAAATTTGGAAAAGTCGACGAATACTCCAGAACTTCCCTAAAACTCCAGAGCAGCCCTGCAATTTAGTGTGACAGGAACAGCTGGGCTGGTTCTAATTGAAATTGGCTCAGCTAGTCACATTGGCCAGTGCTGCCACCTCATTTTTTTCTGCATTTCAAAACATGAGAAAAGAAGATAGAACTTACCTTTTTCTGTTTCAGAGAATTCCTGGTTGTTGCCAGGTGCCTTTGCTGATTTCAGCAAAGCTATCTAGAAAACCCAGTGAAAGGAGGGAGACTCACCCCACTTCCCCCCTCTTCTCCACATTGAAGGTTTACTTTTGCTGACATTAGCAAAGATGCCCAGCAGCAGCCAGAAGTTCTTCAGAGCTCCATGGTCACTGCTGCGGCAATGAACAATGAAAATGCAAAGGTGACCATCCATTAAGGGTGAACCAGGTTTGTCTTAACTGTACAGTTGGGACTAAGTCTGGCCACCGCAGCAGAACAAAGACAGGCGGTATAGCCCTCCCATAGGTAGGGTTTGACTGGACCTTGTTACTCTGGCCCAGGTCTGCATTAAATGGCCCTTGTAGATGGAGCCCCCAGTGGGTTATATTGCTGAACTTCTAAGCTTGTTGACCGAAAGGTCGCAGGTTCAAATCCGGGGAGTGGCATGAGCTTCTGCTGTCAGCCCTAGCTTCTGTCAACCTAGCAGTTCAAAAACATGCAAATGTGAGTAGATCAATAGGTACCGCTCTGGCGGGAAGGTAACGGCAATACATGCAGTCATGCCGGCCACATGACCTTGGAGGTGTCTATAGACAACGCCGGCTCTTCGGCTTAGAAATGGAGATGAGCACCATATCCCCGAGTCGGACATGACTGGACTTAATGTCAGGGAAAACCTCTACCTTTTTAGATGGGCCCAAGTCTCTGGTACTAATATTGTAATGTGGTATTATGTAAGAAACTTACACTCACCCAGTTTTGATTTTTTTATTTGGAACCCAACTGGTTTTGAAATAATTTGGTATTGGAACAAGGATGCTTTCTGACTAAAGCAGGTCCGCAAGTATACCTCTCTTCTCAACTTGGTAGGGTTCACTCTCAAGAATGTGGGTAACGCATTCAGCCTACAACTATGCACAAATTATTTGGAAATAAGCATCGCTGAACAACAGGAAAATGATTTGTGAGTGAGCATGCCTCTGTTTGTACTGTAAGACTACAATCCTAAATCCACCAATTGGGAGTAAGTGCCACCAGACATTCATAATTCCTTGTAGTCATACTAGGCTTGCATTGTAAACACCCCCCCCCCCTTTCTTTGGAACATGGACTCAAGACAGAAAAAAGGTTCTGGAAAATACAATATTCTGTATAGAAATTTGTGAAACACACAACATAATTGTATCTGAAAAAATGTCATAATAAATGTTTCTTATACTGTAATGACTATTCTTGTCAAGGAATAGCTGTTGAGATTTGCATGGTCTAAGAATAAATTAATTACATTTTTACTCTCTCTTCTCTCCTCCCCGCACCTGCCTTCACCTTCCAAAATCTCCTGCCATAGCGATTGCATTTGCCTCCAGACTTGTCAGACACAGTGAGCCGCACAAGCAAACAGGATCTGGCAGAACCCACCAAATTGCTGAGCTCAGGATGTAGAGCAATGGCCATAGGCAAGGAGCACCTGGACTTCTAGAGATTTCTACTTAGCAGCTTCGCTTCGAATTATATGACACTCTAATTATGACTGTTAATGACTTATGTAAATATTTTCTTAAAAATTTTGACACAACAATCTATTTTTAAGCAGCTAACTTTTAAGCTGCAAGCCTTATTTTTGTTATTTTTATGCTAATTTTGAATGTGGTGCTTTGATTTGCTTTCTTTTTACTGTAGACAAGTACATCCTAATTTTGTAAACCTAATGTAGGTTGCTGTTTTGAAGGGTCATATTATTTTCGATTATCATCAGTTTCCCTGTTATTATTAAAATTATTTGTATGCTTATATACCGCAATATCTCAGCCTACAACGGCGACTCATTGCGGTTAATTTTGGATAGTTGGTGAAACAAAGAAAAATACAATTGTATATGCTTAACCAAACTATATTACATATGTTTAAGAACACTCTTGTATTTTTGTATCTATGTTGTGAATAATAAATAAATTTATGAATTCTTCTTGTGGGTTATTTTGATGTCAAACATTCATTACTCTAGAAAAATCTATTAGAATCAAAATTTGACCAATTATTTTATATAGTAGCTAAGCAATTAAATTACTATGCTAGGTTATCTTTTATACTAATATCCTATTATTAATAATACAAAAATGAATGTTAAAATGTATTATAATATATAAAATACATTATAGATAATTAGTCTGCCTTATCAGCTAATAAATATGCTTGAGTGAAAATTATTAAATGTAGACAAATATTTTTTTTGTTTAGTTCAGAACTGTAATCCCAACCAACTGAACTCAGCGCTATGAAATTATGTCAACAGACATTATTCAAGATTGAAATTCAAACTGACAGCTACATTAATGCTAGAAAACGGAGGGAGTGCATTGGAGCTTGTGGAAGAGATATTGTGGAAAGAAGTATACAGTGCAGCAGAAAATAAATCCAATTCAATTTTTCAAACTGTTGTTTATATGTTATTTGTAAATGTATGAATATTTCCCATCTAGGAAAAATATATAAATATTTATTGGCAGTACAATTTGCATACTTGTATAAAACTAGCATACAAACTAGGTGAGTGGATAGATATCAAGGGTTAGTGTTCAAGTAGGGCCTACAAATTACTTTTTAAAAATAATGGAGTCCTGGATTTAGGGCAAGAAGCAAACTATTTTCCATTATTCACCATAGAGGTTTCAATTAAGTTCATTTTGCATTAAAAGTTTAGCTCTAAACTACAGTTTTATACATCACACTGCAATGAACCACTCCCACCTTGAATCATAAACATTGACTGTAATAATGTTAATGTATTTTGATGGGACTGGAGCTAAAGTGTTGGTTAAACGATTTACTTTTTATAATGCTGTGAGTAAAATGGAGACATAGCTTTTAAAACTGTCTAATATGATGAATGTCAATCATTTAAAAAAATCCACTGTACCATAAACACATACTGTATACAGCTTTTATTCTGAATTAGAATAATTGAATCAATGACAGTGATTTGCCAGGATGTCAAATCTATCCATCATATTCTGTCACTACCAGTTTATTTTTTCTGATCAAAATCAAAAAGACTACTGTTTTGTCATCCGCTATTTCATTAGAGGTAACAATTGAGGTTTTTTCTTTCTTTCTTTTTTAAAGATATGTCTGTTTTATATATTTTTTTAATTTCTAAAGACGCAAATCCTTTTTTAAATCTATTCAAAATAAAGTTTCACAACGGAGCTGTCAGTTTCATAAAGGTAACAGACAACCACATTCTTATACCCATATATTGCTGTCTCTTTCAAATCACTTCTTCTTTTGCTTTCTATATATATTATGGAAATTTGAACAGGAACTTGTGAAGATACTCAATAGATCAAATATAACAAGATTAACACTTTCATTACTCGGCGATGTTTTGTTTTATTTCTCACACTAAAAACTTGTCACCCTCCATAATAAAAGCAATATAGTATGTAGCATTTCAAATACCATGAAAAAGCCATTTTGTAATGTACATAAAACTTCAAAATAGCTGCCATTTCAAATGATATAATGCAGTTAGCTTTAATTTTATAGTGTGGTGGTCTCCCAACTCTTGAGTTGAAATCCATTCAGGGGCTTCTTCTGGCAATGGGAGTGAAATCTGGGTCCCATCAAAGGTATACAGGTTTTTTTAAAAACTTATGTTTCCTTCACAGATAAGGATTCTGCTTTCAAAAACAGAGAGAATATGACTGGTCTCAGATTAGCTAGTGTAGCATGGAGTTTTGATTGTTGCATTTGGAAATGGGGGAGCATCTGCACTGTAGAGTTAATGTAGTTTGACATCATTTTAACTGCCTTGGCTCGGTGCCACAGAATCATGGGGGTTAGCCTTCTCTGCCAAAGAGTATTGGTGCCTCATCAAACTTCAAATTCAATTACATTGGGCCTTGGCAGTTAAAGCGGTATCAAACTGCATTAATTCTACAATATAGATGCTCCCTGGGAGTCCTTGATCAGCTATGGAAACCCACTAGGTGACCCTCAGCAAATCCCACTCTCTCAGCTTCAGAGGAAGACAAAACTCCCCTGAACAAATTCTGGAAAGAAAACCTCTTGATAGTTTTGTCTTGGGATCACTGGCCCTACCCACTGTGCTCAATTATTGTGATTTTATATTACATTGTGTTTACTTTTTATTTTTTGAGTTATTGTTTTCATTATATTTTATTTATTTTTATGTTGTATATCTGTTTTCCTGTAACTGTTGGGCCTGGCCTCATGTAAGCTGCCCTGAGTCCCCTTGGGGAGATGGCGGCGGGGTATAAATAAAGTATTATTATTATTATTATTATTATTATTATTATTATTATTAGTCAGAAATGACGTGAAGGCACTCAACAACAACATACTATAGCCTGCTCTCCAGTCAACCGATGTTAAAGTTTAAGTAATCTAACTCAGTTGTGCTGAGTTTGGAGAATGATAGTATTATTTATTTATTTATTTACTTTGCTTATATACCGCTGTATCTCAAGCCCGAAGGCGACTCACGGCGGTTCACAAACAGTAAAAACAGTAGAAATAGCAGTGGTTCCATACAACATATAACAATGTATATCCCAACAATCGGAGACCAAAATGGATTTTCTTTGTTATGACCACTCTCGCTGAGGTAATGTACATAAAACTTCAAAATAGCTGCCATTTCAAATGATATAATGCAGATCAGGAACTCTTCCTGTGAGTAAAAATGAGTGTTTACTGTGTGACCAGGCTTGGTGCCAAAGCAGACCAGAGGAGTGTTGTCTGCTGACAGCAGTTACGCAGCACAATTTTTGTGTGTCAGGGGGAGGCTTACCATTCATATAATGAGCAGAAACTCGGGGAAAAATAAATGTCAGGAGGAGGGGAAGAAAAACTAAGGGGGAAAGCAGACTCACAAAAAGACAATTGAAAGTGACAGTTGGTCTGAAAAGTGACAGTTGGTCTGAAAAACTGCATCCAACTCTTTGCAACTGTTATTGACATTATGGGAAGGAAGGGAGGGTTGCAGACTGAGCCACAGACCAATTCTGGAGAATGACGAAGGACATAGCATTGGGGAATAACACAGGATAGTTGCTAATCCATAAGGATCCATGCACAAAAATAAAAAAAATATAAGTGCAGCATCAGACATTATCAGTCTATTGGTGTTTTGAAACCCATAGAGAACGGTTAATAAAAGTTACAGGAACATCATGGGAACCTTCTTTTTCCGCCTTAGTGTAGGTCTTTGATGTCAAGGGTTACATACATAATATGTACATTAATATCAGGGGGATATCTCATAATCAGTGTTTATGGTGACCAAAAAGGAGCAGGGATGAGGAAGTAGCAATTCAGCCTGCAATCTTGCCATTCCCGAGAGCTGTCGTATAGCTTATAGAATATGAAGGACCTCAAGCTCCATCAATGGAGAGGGGGCTTAATGGATCCCTGTTGGAAAGGTAATGGAGAAGCCTTGTCCTTGGTTGTCACGGATCATAGGCTGAATCCACAGGCCTAAAGACCCCCGTCTCCCCAGGATCAACTTTAGTATGTTCTGGCAAGTAATGGAAGTACACTAGGCCTGAAATTGATGTTCTTATTTTCTGATCCCATCATAACCATCATAACCAATAAAATGTAAAGGGTTTAATGATGGTTGGAGGGATACCTACCTACCTCCTTCTCCTTACTGTCTATACTATTGGCTTAAGCCCAACAGAATTTAGGAGGCGACAGTTTGACCTCCATAGATTTTCACTGCTCTTCCACCACTGGATTTCCCCATAAGGCTGCATGCCATCTCCTCACTAAAAGTGATTTCCATCAAACTCTTACTTCTGAATAGCACACATAGGACGTGTAAAGTAAAGGCGTGAGCAAAGTATTCTCAGTTACAGAGATGGGGAATGCATGAAAATAATTCTGTGTACTGAAGATTCCCCTTCCCTGAAATGGAAACATATAAAGCTAAGGCATTAAGAAGGAGGAGGAAACCTTGAGCTGAACTGGAATAAAGATCTGTGAAATAATGTGTGGGTGGAGGCACACCTCCTGAATGTTCCTAAAATAGATTACAAAAACATCTCTCTTGCAAATTTGTTACCAAAGAGAAATAATGTTGATAACATAGGAGAAGGATCATACCGTATACAGTATATTGTATAAAAATACCATGAAAAGGAGTAGATGAATATTTTAGGCAGTACTGCAAAATGTAAGCGAGATTCTCCAAAGCATATCAAGACAGGCACATAAAGGAAAAGCAGGAGCAAGGGGAAAAACTCACGTTTATTTCAGATGAAGACATTCAAAGTAAAGTGACAGTGGTGTTTTAATGGTGTTATCAAATAAAGACTTAAATATCTACTCAAAGCAAAGTTGGGGAAGAATGGGGGTGGGTGGATGTAATAACAAGTGTGTTGTTATCAAGACAGTAAAGACAATGGAGACTTGTGCCATCTCCACCAAACAGGTTCCAAACCCTGGATAACACCTTTCACACAAGGTTCACACAAGAACCCAAAGTGCTTTCACCATCCCATTGACCTTGGACCACATCTACCTCATAGAACAGCGTACAATGCCAACAGTGATGTGCATCCAAGGTGAGTGTGTTTTCCATACATTAACAGAGCAGAACAGAAAAGAAACAAGAGATTTATTACCCAGAAGAGGTTAAGAAGCTGTACAGCTGGATGTTCAAAGAAGAATGAGAAACAAATGCATACAAATCGGCATCATGGCCAGATATAGATCCAGCTGTACTGGAGGATATGCCTTCAGCAGA